TACTACTACTACTACTATTGCTGCTATTACTCTTCCCACTACCACCTACCAATACCACCACCGCTGCTCCCGTAGCCCGAAGCCCAGACGCTGAACTTAACCCTTATGCTTCCTTCTTGCAATGTTCCCCGCTAGGGCCTGAGGGTGCGGGTTTTACCCTGTAGGGCTTCGGGCCAGGCTGGGGAAAGCCCGGCATGTTAAGGTTCAAGAATTTGGGGTTTGCGGTGTCTGGGGCTGATCAGGCGTCAGGATTCTCAGGGCTTGGGGGTGTACGGGTTTCGGGCTTTGCAATGGGGTTTGATGGGTTTCAGGGTTCACGTGTCGGATCTAATTTAGGAATAGGGCCTGCAAAGCTCCAGCTAGGACACTTTAAAGCCGGAACCCCGAAGCCTTCAAGCACCTCAACACCAAATGTCTGCAGCCTTGGACCACTAAGCCTACTACCACTGCTCTTCCACGACGACTTCTACAGTTACAAATAATGCAACTAACAGGGTGCTCCTGAACAGAAATCGAGTACCCATAGTAGAAGAACACACACACACAAATGCATGTGTATACAGTTGTGTGTATATGTAGTATACACATACATCTTTGCATGTGTGTGTGTGCGCGTGCGTGCGTGCATGCACACATACATACACACACACACACATATACACACATATATATATATATAAATACATACATACATGCATATATGCATATGTGCATATGTACATATCTACATATATACATATACACATATATACATATATATATATATATATGTATACATATATACATACATACATATACACATATACACACACACATAAATATATCTATATATATATACACATATACTTAATACGAATACATGCATGCATGCATGCATGCATGCATGCATGCATGCATGCATGCATGCATGCATGCATGCATGCTGACACGCCTACGAACATAGAACATAGGACGGGAAGAAGGCATCATGCCATAGTACTGCTCAGCAGGACATCTGTCAGAGACAGGCAGCAGTGCCTCCTCAATCACTCCAAAACATCCTGCTGGCTGCTGATGACCCCTTGGTGCTCCAGGGCCAGAAGCGGGCGGGTAGCCAGGAGCGGGATTTTCTCATTCTTGTGTATCACTGTACGATCGCTATGAAATCACTCTAGAAGTGATTTCGGGGTGGTTTCCGCTTAATCCTGCCTTGGTTGGGGATTGCTTCGGAACCGCTTCAGGAGTGATTTTAGACTGATTTTGGAGTGATCTGGGAGTGAAACAAGAGTGGTTTCGGAGTGATTTTTTGCTTCGCGCAGCCAGCCCTTGTCGAGGCCCTGGGCCTTACATAAGTACCTCAACACCTTGAACCGAACCCTAGCCCTTGTCGGAGGCCCTAATCAGTCCCTAGGCCCTAGGCCTTACATAAGCACTCACACCTTGAACCCCACCCCTAGCCCTAGCCGGAACATTGAACCTTACCTAACCCTTAGGCTTCCTCCAGGCAACTTTTGGTGTATATAGTGACTTCGGGCCGGGGAGAGAGGGTCGAGGGGTCTAAGGGTTTGCAGGTTCACGGTTTGGGGGTTTGCAGGTTCAGGACTGACAAAGGTTCTAGGGCCTAGGGGTCCAAAATGGACTGGGGGTTTTGGAATTCTGGGGTCAGGATCGGGTTTGATGGGTATCATCAGTGTTCAAGCTTGGGATCTGCGGGCTTCAGGACGGTTGCCTCGCACCCGGAACCCCGCTCAACTCTGACGCCGTGCCCTTCAACCCGGAACCTAAGCCCCAAATCTCTACACTACAGTCTACAGCCTTGGACCACTATGGTTATGGGATACCTTACGCCCGGAACCCCGCAAACTGCTCACACCCCCAATTGTCTACTCGACTTTACTCCCTTTGCCCGTTTGAGCCCTGAGCATTAGACCCGGACCCCAGACACCGAAAGCCTTCCTGGGTCCTAGTCACTATAGCCCTAAAGTCCTAAACCCGTGCTGCGATGCCAAGGCCTTTGGCCCGTAAACCCTAAACCCTAAACCGTAAACATGCGGAGCCTTGCCGGCCTTGTGAGAGTGTGAGAGTCGAAACCGTAAACAGCCAAAACCTTACAAACCCCTTAAGACGATTCGAGAGGAATGCACTGGGTCCCCAACCATTAGCCATTAGCAGCAGTAGTGCGTCGGACCCACGTGGCCCCTCTCTGCGCGCTGCTTTTACTCACTTTAAAATCGCTTTACGAGCAGTTTGGGAGTGATTTCGGAGTGATTTCGGAGTGATTTCGGAGTGATTCTGGAGTGATTTTGCAGTGATTTTGCAGTGAGGAAGGGGTGGGGAGTGAATTCGAATCACTCTAGGAGTGAGCGAGGAGTGAGTTGAGAGTGAGCGCCCAGAGAAATTATTTAGTGATTTTACAGTGAGTAAACTGCAAGGCAAGAATCCTACGGAACGCTTCCCACCCTGGCATTTAGGACTTGGATAGGGCTCAGCGAACCAACTTCGGATCCCAAACGTTTGGACAGCCCTGCTCCCGACCCTAACCGGATAGATTACAATGATTACAACATACGTACCTACCTACCTACTGATGGCCTTTTGGGTGGTTGCTTTGGAGCTTATAGCTGGCTTCCTAGGTGCTGCTGCTGATAATGATGATGACAATGACTACAATCATTATACTGCTTTTGTTACGGTCATGATGATGATGCTCGTCATTCCAGCCATTAATCGCTACTAGTATGACTAGTACTAGTGCTACCATATGACTATGGATGTTGTCGTTATTTGTAGGGTTTTGGGTTTAGGCTTCAGAGTGGGGTTGAAGGTTGAGCCATGACCAAACTACAGCAGATATGACAGCATAGCAGCATCTGCTTTTCATCAGGAAACTAGCAGTGTGAAGCTTCAATCCAAAGCCTGCTAGAAGCTCCCGGAATAAGGGTTTAGCCACGATATGATATCCAAAGCCTGCTAGAAGCCAGCCAGAAGCTCCCGAAATAAGGGATTCAAGTGTTCACGAAATTACAAGGAAAGCACCGTCGAAGTAAGAGCTCTTGGCCTGGGGGTATATCAATCTATAGGGGTTAAGGTTGAGGGTTTGGGGGGTGAGGGATGGGAAAGGACGGGATGCAGGTTAAGGACGCAGTTGGGTATGGGGGTTGGGGGGTGGGATGGGGTGGGTTGGGGTGG